TCAAATAGCCAACAAAATAATTGCTAAAGTGGAAAGACAGTGTGTTCTCATATGCCAGTAGCCACCTAATGCAGGGACATCAAAACGGGAAGAAATAGATGAATATCACAATCCAGTTTCAAATAACGTCCGACTTATACAGATGAGTAAAAAACATACTTAGCTGGTGTAGCCCTGAGTAGCATTAGGATAAAGAGAGCAATGTTAGTGACAAAAATGTTTATTGACTTGCCTTGTGATGATTTATGCCTCATCAAGCTGGTGAAAGTGTTGTGGTAAATGAGAGGGTGAGAGGGACATCCTGGTACATATATAACTGCACAGAGAGGAGGAGGAGGATGAAGTGGGTAGATACATGCAAGCAAAGGTTTTGGACAAATGGTAATTATGAGGAATGCATGCCTACAGTGTTTGGTTTATTCAGAGTCACTGAGGTGGGCAATTAATTACCTGATCTTCCTCCTCTTTTTGCTGTAAACAAAGCAGGTGACAGACACATTACCTTAGCAGAACAGCAAGCCACAAACCAAGTCGAGAATACACAGGCATTTGTTTACAGTATGAATGTGTGTGTTCTCCTCACCTTCGTAGCAGCTTGTCTCCATAAACAGGTATGAAATAAGGGAAGAGGTAGGGTGCCACACAGTTGGAAATAACAAGGCAGACCTGGCTCTTCACCCAGCTAACAGACACTTTTAAAAGCCACGAAAGGCTCTAAGGAGAAGAAGGAAACATCAGCTGTTCTTAGATTTTTTTTTTTTAAATTAATCCTCACTCAGATCTAAAAGATATAGAATCGCACCTACCAGCTTACGGCCTTCTAAAGCTTCTTTGTAGCTGTTGAAGCTGATCCAGGGACCAAAGATGACTGTGCCCACAAAGTAGATATAACCCATGAACTCAATGGGTGAGGGCACACTGGTCACAACACCTCTATCCAAATCAAAGGCCAAAGAAATGGCTTTCATTGCAACCACCATCTGAGAACCTGGATGACAGCAGCAGCATTTAAATGATTGTTGTATTCCAAAATTAGATATTACTAATGGGAATATTAAAGTATACAGTCTTACCTCTCATCTTGTGCCAGTTAGTGGTATCCATCATATGTAGCTCCCTGATGAAATGAAAAGGAAAGGTAGTCATAATGAAAAGAGTTTTCCCAAATCGGCCAAATTCCCGAATTCACAAGCTTAAAGTCAATTGGAAATTAGGATTTAGACGTGAATAAGTATACATCATACATTTAAAAAAATATTGTGGGAAATCACAATAAACTTTGTTGCTTTTATTTTGAATTCAGGTGCTTTTTAAAAATGTTTTACATGCGTACATGTGAACCAGTGTGAAAGCACATTGTAACGTGTTGGAACCAGTATTTATGACAGATGTGTTTGCTAGCCCTGACAGATGTCAGCTCACGTTAAAAAAGAAATCTTGATGTAGAATGCAGAGTTTTTAAGAAGACATTGACTTCTGAGCTTTTATTTACTGGAGTCATCTATAGAACTGTGCTTAGTTTACAGAGAGCAGATTGTTGTGTTTGAGGATTACAGTTTGAATCATCATTACGAGACTAAACACACAGAGAAATACAAGAAGTTGACTGATGCAGACTGAAAATGGACATCTAAAGCTTTGCTAGCGAAGCTGCAAAAGCAACAAGGACTTTACACATCCAGAGATGGAGCTGTCAAGACCAGCTTTGTGATTTGCCTGTTTCACATTTTCATTGCTTATAGCAGTTTAGATTGAGTTCAGCTTATTTATGTAACCCCCACAACACTTCCAGCTTCTCATGTGGCCCCATTGGGAAAAAGAATTATTAAAGAAGCTCTTTGGTTCAGTATGACACCTAATGTGTCATACTGAACTGTCAGGTAACACAAGAGGACTCTCTTACCCCAGGAGCAGGTAAATGAGCACAGTGATGGAGAGAAAGGTGCCTCGGATGGTAGAATGGCGACACAGGAAGAGGAAGAGGTAGCAGAGAAGGCTGAGAAGGACCACCCAGATCATGTGCAGCTCAAAGAACAGGTAGAGCGTGTAGAAACCTCCTGCCACTGTGACCAGGTGTTTCACAAAAGAAGGAAGACCTGACATAGCCAGATAAAAAATAAAGAATAATGTATGTGATTAGAGATTAAAGTGAATGTCTGATAACACTGACTGGGGTGCAAAAGCTTTGTACTCACCGAACATCCAGATAAGTCGACATAGCAGGCAGATAACCAGCAGCTGCCAAACCTGCTCCAGGCCCTGCTGAGCTGTGGGCAGCAGGCAGCCATGAGCGAGCTCTTGAAAAAACTTCTGTCGGCTGAACACTCCCATCACTAGACTTAGAAAACAAAGAGAAGCCAAAATGCATTTTTACAGCAACAAAAATAACATTTGTGTTAACAGTGGTGACTTATAGCTAAATACTCTTCATTAAACTTCAAATCCCAGCATGCAAAGCAATTCACTACAGATCAGTGCACATGCAGAACAGCTGCTGTTCAGAGTTTCACTAAAGATGATGAGAGCTCTTCTTGTAATTAAACATATTTTTAGTTGTATCAGACTGGATACAATGAAATACATCCCAGGATGTAAAACAATATCAAGACTTCATCACAATAACACCATGACCTGGGTCTCGGGCATGTGGAGAATATTTGACATATGCTATTCTGCAAGGCATGCTCTCTCCGCAATGCAGTCGGCCAAGGGGATGAGTTGACTCACAGCTGCCTTCCTTCAGCCGCTGCATTAACAGTGCCTCGGCGTACTCAGCGCTGCGCGTCCAGGGAGAAGCAAACGCATCGTAAATGGATGCGAGAAATCCGGCAGGAGCTACTGATCCTTGCAGTGAGCGGTCCTGCTAACAACCTACTTC